CGTGCGGCGAGCCCTTGGTCACTCAAATGCGCGGGTGGTGCCAGGCAAAGCCTTGGAGCGAGCCGAGCCACGTTCCCCACAGCGCCAGGACACAGGCGGAGATAGCGGGAAACAGCAACTCCCCGCGCCCAGCTCGGTCACCAGCATCAGACTCCATGCAGGTGCTCCCAGCAGACACGATGCCATGGCGCTATTGCCCTCAGGCAGCGCTGCTGAAGACACCCAAACACAGCTTTTTCAAGATCTAGTTCCCGAGCCATCACAGGCAATGAAAGCAGCTGGCCCCAGCTGCCCGACTCTCAGTTACTCACAGCCATGATGCCCGGACACCACAGCTGTCACGGAGACACACGTGTGCTGGTTTCCAGATACCGTGTCCACAAGTAACATCCCAACATCTGCGAAAACAGTTCTGCTGCAAAAGGCCTCTGTGTGCCACAGAGGCCCCAGAAGGGGCCCAAGGCTTTGGCTCCCAAATACAGAGCTGGCAAAATCCCTGCGGCCTCGGTCCATCCCTGACCATCCTGTCAGAGGAGCACCTGCTGCACGTGGAGCTCGCACCTCAGTGCCCCTGATGGACTGGATATTTGCACCCGCACAGCTTTTGGGGGAAGCCCGCTTACCTGCTTGCTGCTCCCACTGCTTGACTGTGGTCGTGCCGGGCACCCCTTCCTGCTGCTCCATTGCCGTCACCAGCACCATTGGGGCCATCCCAGGAGATCCGTGCACCCCTGAGCTCCCTCCATGCTTCAGCAGTTCTGCGATGTAGAACAAGCTCTGCTTACTGTGGTGCTGCACGGGCTCCCCAGGGGAAGGCTACACGTTACCGCCAGCAGCACACACACATGTGTTTGGTTTATGTGGCAAGGCTTTGCCAGCAGGGGGGCTGCAGGGGTGGCTTCTGTGAGGAGACACCAGAAGCTGCCCCCATGTTTGGCAGAGCCAGCTCCAGCCGGCACCAAGATAAACCCACTGCAGGATGGCGGCAGCTGGGAGAGAGGGGAGCAAGAAAATGTGTGAAACAGCCCTGCAGGCACCAAGGTCAGAGAAGAAATTGGGGCAGGAGGCGCTCCAGGTGGCAAAGCAGATTCCCCTGCAGCCCACAGAGGATCCCGCCAGAGCAGATGCCCACCCTACAGCCCACGGAGGACCCCGATGGAGCAGGTGGAGATGCCCTTAAAGAAGCTGTGGCCCACAGAGAGCCCACACAGGAGCAGGCTCCTGGCAGGAGCTTCAGCCCATCTGGGGGGACCCCTCGCTGGCGCAGGGGCAGAGCGTGAGGAGGAAGGAGCAGCAGAGATGAAGCGTTACCAACTGACCCCAACCCCCACTCCCTGTCCCCCTGTGCTGCTTGGGGAGGGAGAGGGTAGAAAAGTCAAGTGTGGAGTTGAGCCTAGGAAGGAGGGGAGGGTGGGGGAAAGGTGGTTTTAGTTTGGGGTTTGTCTCTCATTATCCTACTCTAAGTGGCAAAAAAAAAAAAATCATCTTCCCGCATTCCAGTCTTTTGCCCATGACAGTAACTCGTGAGCGATCTCCCTGCCCTTATCTCAGCCTGTGGGCTTTCCCCTCATATTTTCTCCCCCTGTTCCGCTGAGGTGGGGGAGTGAGGGTGCAGCTGGGTGGGCACGTGGCAGCCAGCCAAGGTCAACCCACCACAACACAATTCTGGGAGGTGCTTCCCCACCCCAGGTCAGACACAAAGAAAAAAGAAAAAAAAAGAAAGAAATAATCTTTGTAACAAAAAGCCCCTCCTCGGTTTTTCTTGAGGTCTCCACACAGAGCAAAGCTTATGCATGCTACTGCCACGCTACAGTAATTTGCTTTTGTAAGCAAATATTCTGCTTTCTCGCTTCTCAGCCCTTGGTAGGAAAGCGTACATAATGCTTGCTGCCTGTTTTTCATTTGGCTGGGCGTCTATCTCCAGCCCCTTTGGGTCTTTCCAAGATTTCCATCAGCACTGCCCTCACCATAGCAAGCGAAACTGGCCCAACCCATTTCAAGGAAATGCTTCTCTTCTTGGAAGGAACCTTAGGAGACAAGAACAGGCCAGATCCATTAAGGAGCATGACTATGGAACAGCCTCACACCTTCTCCCACCCAAATGTCACTGGCGCTTGTCCTTCTAAGGAATAATTCATCACCTGTCTGTTCTGTACCTCTACCAGTCTCAAAAAACACCTCGTGTGGCCCAATACCTGGCCCATACCTAAAGAGCTTTTTGGGAAGGGGACAGAGTCGAAGGCCGTGCATCCTATCCCCAGGCCCAATGCACCCAGAGTGCTCAGCCAAAAAAGAAGTTAAATGCAAGGGGCATCTCATTGCATTCTTGGCCTACAAACAGCAAGGGAGGGATACCCTGGAATGGCAGGGCATCCTTCTTGGATCAGTGCAGAACTTGCTGATACTGCACCACCAGACAGACACAGGGCATAGCGACAGGACTATGGTGAAAGATGAAAATGCTGTGCTAGGCGGGGCATTGTTCTGAGCAGCACAAAGACCCCGGTAACCAAACAAAGCGCTTGAAAAGGGGGAGGGAGGAAAAAGGGGTTGTTCAGCTTTGCACTTGTTTGCCTGCAACAGAGGCAGCCTGAAGGCCCGCGCAGCCCCTCAGCTGCTGCAGGCACAGGAAACCCCAGGTTTGCTCTGGCGCTTCTATGATTCCACGCAGCGAGGTGCAGAAACCCAGATGAATCCAACAGGACCCCCTGTGATGACAAACAAAACCAAGGCGCATGCTAAAGGTCTGGATGAGGAGGATTATGCCTCTCTAGGGTCTCTATATCATTTTTTTCCCCCCCCCACATTACATGTTTCTAGCAGCACATCCCTGGTTTTGCTGGACTCTGTGAAGCAGCACTACAGACTTGCCGCTGGAAGGTAGCACTGCCAAGGAACTGAAAAGCTCTCAGCAAAGCCATCCGTGACTTGGCCAGTTCCTTCCACAATCTCATTGGCTCAAGCCCTGTATTTACATCTTAGCTAGCCGGAGTGCTTGTGACCCGACTCTTGCAGAGCTGGTTTTGTTACTGGGAACGATGGACAACACGCAAGAGCAAGCAGAGAGGACGCTTGCAGCACAGCTACTGCAGCTTACATTCACTGCGCCCAAGCTGGGAGGCAGCACCCGATTTGGGTAGCGCTGCCATGGAGCGAGTGCATGCGGGGTAAACTGGACTCCCTTAAACCAAAGGTTCCCCATTACTCAGGTGCATTACTCTTAGGGACAAGGCACTGCCAGAGCCCCGTGCCCATCGGCTCTGCCCAGCTTTCCAGCTTGGGTGGCGCAGGGCAGCGGGGGAACCCCAAGCGTAACCCACCTCTGGCCCACCTGCTGCCTAATACAATTCTGGTCCCTCCAGGACGCTGAAGAGTTTTACGAGTTCGGCATCACATTCCTCTGACACCTTTTGTTCAAGAACTGCTACTTGGGTGATGAGTTTCGTGCTTACTGTGAGCTCTGGAGGTTACAGTCAACTCTGTCTCTTTGGCCTCCAGACAGATTTAGCCACGTCCAGCTGCTTTCATCCCAGATCCCAGCACTTCCTACACACTTGCAGTTCCTTCCGATTGTGTTCCCAGTTTCAGTTCTTACTGCTCCTCAGGTTTCAAATAACAAAAAGCCCTCAGTGAGTCACAAGACAGGAATGTAAGAAGCGCATTTCCTAACAGGAAGCTAAGTAGAAAATCAGTTTCAATTCCCCACACCAACTAATTGCACTCTAACCACAAATTTTCTTGAGGCCACATCTTAGTAGAACACTTGGGATGTGGCAACCGAGTATTAGCATAGTGCTTACATGTCAAGTGCTGACAGATTTATGGTATTCTCCCCAGCGGTGTTAATAACCTCTTAACTTTGACTCTCTGGAAAGCTGGCCTGTAGTAAACATGGAAGCTCCAAGTCCACTTCAAGCAGCGTTCAGGAGGCAGTATTTTCAGCTGGAGAATTAGTGAAAATCCATCTGGCAGGAGAAGAGCACTGCCCTAGCACATCGGATGCGCTCTGCAAGACTCTGGGCCAACAGCCTCATCTCCCACCTCACACAGCCAGCGACGCGCTCCCCTTGCTGGCAGCCTCACCTGCAGAAGGGAGTTTACAAAAAGAAAAGCCAGCCACACTTTCACAGCTATGCCCCTCAACATCCCCTTGGGTTGTCAGTTACATTTAACATCTCTCAGAGGGAAAACAAGTCGTTACACCAGCATCTGCATAGGCTGAGCTGCAGGGACAAAAATAGCGTGGGGCCAGCTGGTTAGCAACATGAACCTGTCCAAAGCAGGTTTTGGAGATGCTTGCGCATCTGGGAGGAAGGCAGCGGGAGCAGGGGGCTGCGGCTGGCAGCACACCTCCCTGCCCATCACTGCAGGATTTTTTCCTTTTTGGCATTTCTCAGTTAATTCATGTAATGTGTTACCTCCTCTTCCCAGAAACTGCATCTGACTGAAGAGCGAATAGTGCAGGAGCCTCAGGAGGAAACTTCGGGCAGATCCCATGAGAGATGACGGATTTAAACTGGAAAGATCCCAAAGAAATCTGAGGGACCATAGAAACGATGGAGGTCTTTGCCACTACAGCAAGAGAGAAGGCATTGTCTGTTTAATGAGTTACCACAGGAAGACCACAGGAAAGAGAGCGACACAGGTTAAAATACTTTTAAATTGTTTATTATAAAATACATATTTACACATGAAGGCACTTCGAAACTGTCACAAAATTTTCACATAAGCTCTTGCTTTAGCCATCCAACACGCCCCAAAATATTTTTGCTATCACCTAAAAAGGTGAAAAAATCTGACCTGCATCCAGTTGTAGCGCATTCATTTTTTTTAATGAAAAACCACTACATCCAAGGATGACTAACTAATGAGGATTTTAGCACTGCCAGCTTCCTACAGTTCCAGAGAACACAGTAACAGCATAGTGAGCAGGTTTGTGCAATCTGTGTATGATGCTGAATTAAAACAAGTCACCTGAACTCCAGTCACACAGCACTGGTGAAAGTCTTACGCCAGTAAGCCTGACCTCACGCCTCCTGTTCAGAACGCCCGCAATCCCCCAGGCGAGCAAAGCAGGCTCTGCCGATGGTGAAACAGAGGTTCCCCATTTCCCCCACACCACTGGAGGCTCTCAGGGACTGGAGTGCACACACTGGGCAGTCATAGCTGCAGCACTGATGAGCGGGTCAGGACAGAGAGGCTGCGTCTCTTGGGCTTTTTATCTCAAGATCTGAAGACGGATATTAAAAATTGAAGAGCATTAAAGGAACTGATGAATCTACATGAAACCTAGTCCACTGCATGGCCACTGCCTCACACTACAGTGCTCTATGGTCGAACCTTTCAGAAATGAGCACCCTTTTTTTAAAATTAAAAAAAATTAAAAATTAAGTAGTTAATAATCCAAAACCAAATTACAGTTTGTAAACTTTCTACTTGCCGCTGAGCAGGGTCCCTGCACACGCATGCTTTTTCCTCTATCACTGCTGGCCAGATTCATAGCTGAGACTGCTTGAAGTCATCGCAGTGTTCTTGCCTGGAACGGTGGCACAGCAGATCTTGTAGCATATATTGAACAAGCCAAACCATGAGCGAACAGAGCTCCTTAAACAAGTCCTATGTAATAGTTCCATTTTTTTTCCCAGTTCAATACACACATAAACTGAAAAAATACAGTGCTGCAAAGTTTCTCTGTGGCTCTAATCTTAAATGAGATTATGAAATAAGATCAAAGCTACTGATTTACAGTAATGAATAAGCCTTGGACTTTCTCCACTTTGGTAAAATAAACCCTACCAAATCCCTCAGCATTAAAAACTTAGTTACAATAATTGGATGCTGGAACTTCCACCTTTCCCAAGCCTTTAGTAGCTCTAACCCCCCATATATACAAACATGCCTTATCTGACGGGCGTACATTCAGTGTAGATACTACACAGAGGCCACGATCTCCAGGAAAACATGAAATAAAGAGATACCTTTTGTTAAATGACTTTGTGCATTTAACAGCTCTAAGATGGCCAAAGCCCCAGCTGTTTTCCAACCGTGACCAGCTTGTACTTCCTCACAGGTCAGCTGCAAGATGCAAGAACGGCTCCTACAGTGAGGCTGCCATCAGGCTTCCAACAGCAAAGGAGCTGCTCCCATGGCAGCATTCACCAGCTCGAGAGAAAGGCAATTCCGACTCACAGAACCGTATCTCACTGCTTTATCAGACGTCAGTGTCCAGTTTAAGCCACTACTATTTGTACTTTTTGATTATTGCCTTTGTTACTGCAAAAGCCATCTGACCCGCATCATAACGAACGCTTTTATTGGTGTTCTGATAGGAGATGGAGCACAGCACAAATCACACTGTTCAGAACTGCTTGGCTCTTCCTGAGGCTAAATGGTCCATTTGTTCTCTGATCCAGGTACTCCACAGTAAAATAACACATGAAATTCCACATTCTTTTAAAATAAGGCACTTTTAAAGTTTCTTCCCCAAATACCAAAAGTTTGAGGAAACTTAACTGACCTCACTAATTTCCTTATCATTCTCATTCCAGAAATAAAACCAATACTACTAGAAGCTGAGTTACACTCAGAACTCATGATGCTCTAAGTTAGGCTGGAGAACATCCGATACAGCTTTCTACAGATCGCTGTCTTGCTAAAACAGCTCAAACAGTAACTTATAGCACAGCACGCCCTTTGGCAACCAAGGTCACCGCCACCTCTCATTCTCTGGCACTTGCTGCCTAACCCTGGCTTTTCGCATCCTGTGGAAGTCAGGCAGAAGTTCACCGTTAAAGAAACTTGGCAGTTGTCTGCATATAAAAGCAAGAAATAAATAGCACAACAGCTGTATCCAGCTCCATAGCTTTCAGATCCCAAGGAAAACCAGCAGGTTTAATGATTTGCTCTTTCGCTGACAACATCCTGGAGGCGTTTGAGTAGAACGTCATCATTTTCCTGGCAGAGCCGCTTCGTAGGGGATTCAGTGTCACTATCAATTGTTATTGCTCGTTTCTTACTCCTGTGTTCACCTTGTTTTATCATATTGTTGATGTCCTTCAAACTCTGCGATCGAGATTAAAAAAATGGTGAGTTACTACGACTCCATTTCAAACTCGCTCTGGTTTCCAACTATCTGAGAACCAAAAGTTATTCTGAACCTCTCTGCTGAGCAAGCAATGGATTCTACATGAAGAGTTCTACCCTTCACCACAAACTGAGAGACTCGGTCAATGAGACCTCACTGCATTACAATGCATCCTAATTAAGAGATTAATTAACCCTCTCCCAAATTGACCCCTTCCAACCTTTTTTGCTTTCTACCTTGGAAGGGCTCCCATTAAATTTATACAGTAGTGCAGTTCGAGGTGTCAGGCAGGCACCATTTTTGTGAGGTGAAACATAAACAGAGTGCTGCTGAGAGATCCGTCGAGGAGAGAGTGGCTGTTGCTTAATGCTGGGGAATGGAGACAAGGGAGGGGCTTCCATCTGCAAGAGAGGACAAATTTGTATAGGAGCCGCATCAGAAGAGGTTTAAGAGCAGAAACTTCACATAAGGAAAGATTAACAGGCTTCCAGGTCTTTACAAGATTTTTATCTCGTAACAGTTAAACAACAGATCAAGTATCCACCGAACAACAGAACAGATTTATTTTCCAGACACATTACACAGATGCTCCACAGGCATTTGAGCAAACATTGCATCGATATAAAGAAGCTGAAACCAGGACTGTAAACTGAACTGCATCCACACTCATCCTCTTCAAAGGCTGTTAAAGCCTCATACCACTACCTACAACTATTTGACTTCTGTAACCATGGCAGGAAAAACGACTCTGTGTCCAATTACCAGATAGAGCAAAATTCCAAAATACTTTACTTACTACATGATCCTGGTTTGTGATATCGTACTTCAGTGCAAACGATTTTACTCTTCCTACATAGACTGCATTGTAAAATTTAATAAGATCTCCTCTCTCCTCTGTTCCCAACTCACAGGTCTCTGCTGCGGATTGTCCTGAGGAACCGCTGGTTTTCACAGATGAGTCTAAGAAGAAGAGAGCGCTTCAGATTTCAGAAACACAATAATCAGCACACTGGGCACATCGGATTCAAACTTAAAATATCCAACCAACAAGAACTCATCCACAAATGGACTAGTTAATGAGATGAACTAAAGAAATGTGCTTCAGACAGGAGCAGGTGATTATGAGCATTAGGAGGAGCTACGAATTACTGCTAGCAGGCTCGTGGATCAGGGCTGAAAAGGACGGCATAAATATTTATTCACAACTTGGAAACAGCTGTAGCAAAAAACTGTAGCACAATTGACCCCTTTTCCCATGCTTATTTTGGGGAGTTTTTGTACAAAGCCATTTGTTGCTCTTAAAACTAATTTTAAGCAGTCTGACAACTCCCAGCTTTTAGCTTCTGTGAAAGCTTCTAGTGATCAGCTGGCGAAGAATAGCTGCGTACTCAACTCATGTCTGCTGCAACGAAGCCGTGACACTGTTTGTTCAGGAATATTCCGAAACAGCTGTTCAGTGGAAAAAGCTGCAGCCACACAGCAAGTTTATTTCTAGTTAACGCTCTCTCCCCTAATACCAGACTGCTCCTAAGCACAGCCTTCTATGTTTCATCCTCTGTCCTGTTTACAGCAAAACAGGGCAACACAGAACAAAGCCTCTTGCAGTCAGTGCACTAAGACACATGTCAAAAGCTTCAGCCGATGCCCGAAAGCATAACCCCTAGGTGTGTCTGCCTTGGGTCACAACACAAGCATACGTCCCTGTAAGCTGGTGTCAAAAGAGTGGGAATTAATGCCAGACAAAGGAGATGTGAGTCTATTGACTGAAGAAAAAGTCTGGCAGGAAAAGCAACTGAAGAACTTTGTAACCAGGGACATTTGTTTGACAGAAGGCTGCAGCCCAGTGCCTCTGCAGCTGCTCTGCAACATCCAGGAATGGTGGAACTGCTAGACAGGACACTGAACCTACAGGAGATCAGCACTTTCCTGGACCCCAGTGGAATCCTCAAAAGGCATTCAAGAATGGCCCTAATACTCATTCAGGCAGTTGAATACCACCCACAGTGGGAATTTACTGTACAGAACAGTCTTCTAAATTGCTGCATGCATCCTGGCTGCAGATCTACTCTGCTCATGGGTTCATACATGTGACTGTGACCTCTCAGTTTCCTGACATGTCACTAAAAACAGGCATGGCACAATTTTCATGCTTTTCTTAAATACTACTTTTATCCCTTTTCTCCTCTAACCCAGAGCAAACAAAATGTCAACTATTTAAAAGGAACCTGAATATAAGAAAGTGGTGGTCTTAGAGAGTCACCATTTTTATTTTCTCAAATAAGTTCTCCCTACTTAAGCCCTCAGAATAGGTGATATTGAGAAAAAAACCTGTTGTAATATTCCAGGTACTGTTCATTGTTCTTTGTTAACTGGTGTTGCTGTCCAAGAAGAGCTACAGTATCACTGACACCCTAAGGAAACGCTTCAGCCTCCAGCAACCAAATTTAAGGAAACAAAACTAAACATTTTTTCCAACTAGGAAGTGTATTTCCCATATCTAATACAGAGGGGGGCTACTGACAAGATAGTTTCTTTTTCAATAATAAGTTTATTTTTCTTTAATATATTTAAAACTGTAAAGTTTGCTTAACTTCTTATTACTTGATAGTTCAGTTCTGAAAAGCCCACAAATGCATTTTTAAAAGCAGCGGATTACTTTGCTGTACCTACCTTCTGTCATCTCCACATCTGGGTTTGCATTTTTGTCCAACAGGACGTCGGCAGAAACATTTCTCAACAAGACACTCCTATAAACCTACAGGACATCAGGGAGAAACACTCTTGTCAAGGACAACAAGGAAGTCAGAAGACTAGATGAAATCCATCTGCATAAGAATGAAAATAACATTGGCGAGGATTTGACTGGTCCCTCACTAGCGTAAGCCACTGCTACCTGGAGATTACAAAAAGGAGAGGCCAGACTGTTCACTCACATGGCTGTTTGCTTGTGGCTGGTTTCTGTAACTTTTCATTATGTCCTGAAAAGTTCTTTCCTCTTTGGTTACCTGGAAAAGAAAAGGCTATTGAAGACCAAGTGCAAGCAGCGAGGTTGGGCTGCTCAGGTCCAGGCTATTCAATTAGCTTCACTCTATACAGCTTTTTCATGAGTATTACTGTGAATACATAATTTAAATCTTCATTCTGGTGATGAGAATATGAAAAAACAAGCATTTTTCTTGTTCAGGCATTCCTTATTTCTTGGCTACTAAAGCCTTCTGTTGCTTATGATGCTCAGGACCTATTCCTTTTCCCACTGCGCTTCTAGTGACACTAAAAATTAAAGAAGGGAAATATTAAGTCAAAAATGTATTTGTAAATTTGAGAACTGGAGCCCTTAACTTTTCTAAACAGAAAGCAAGGAAATCCTGAACAAAACACTAGGCAGGAATAGACACACATGCAATTTCAGCTTGCTTTTGTACTTCAAAATAGCCGATTGGTTAAAGGACTTTGTTTTTCAGCCATGCATCTGCAGCTGTAATAGCAGATGAGCAACAATTTTTGTAGTAGGAGCCAGGAGAGAATGTACCAAGGTCTCTGGCTAAGCTGTCAGGTCTCACACTGCACTGGGGACAGCACTCAGAAGACTGTATTTAAAAAAACAAAAACAAAACAAAAACCCACCCAAACCAACCCCCACCCAACTACCAAACCACATGATAAAATACAGAACGCTGACTGTTCAATGGTTTTGCTTTTCTAGAGTTATCAGTATCGATGTCAAAAGCTATGCTACAGTTATTAAGAGGACAGGTAGGCACAACTTGAACATCTGTTTCCCTCCATGGATAGTGCTCCTCTTCTTTAGTCTTCCTCAAGAAGAAATGGTAATCCACCCCCAATGTTTTAGAGGAGCCTGGGCTAAGTTTCACTGTCCTGAATTCATGTCTGAATCAGACTCAATGGCCATTGTAACCATCAGCTCTCAGCTTTGAGTCAAACCAACATTCCAGTTTCAGAATCCAGCTTAGTAACACCTTAAATCAATGCTGGCAAATTGAGTAAGAAATGAAGGAGTATGAGTAACAGGCAACCGGCTCAATTCCTCAACCTGAATCTTCAAAAGCTAAGAGGATTTTTGTGGAATAGAAACTTCCCATCCATCCATCCATAACGCTGTGAGCTCCTGCAGATTTTTGCACCTGCATAGTTCTGTAACTGTAATGGCCTTTTTAGTTCAGATTACGTATTAGATCATGAAGATGACAAACAGGATAGAAAACAAGCATGGGGCAATGAGACCACACACCGCTTTGTCTATGCTGACCAGTGCTCACTGTGAGTGCGCTCGAGAAGAAAAATACTCTTGTAACCAACCGGCTGATGGGAACTTTCGAGATTATGCAAAACAAGGAAAAAATATGCTGGGACTTCCATCCACTTCTTGGAAGGACTCTTCCCTTCCCTCCAACAATATGACATGAATAAAGCAATCAAACTGTAAACTGTGAACACAATTTACATTTTCAATTGACATAAAATTCCCTGAGTTCCTTAAAACTACGCATTACCTTTGCCATGATATAAAAGGCACAGAGGAGGAGCTGGTCCAGGTGTCTGTCCTTCATTAGATCAGCACAATGAACCAACGTGAATTCAAAGCATGTCCATATCTTCCTGCGCAAGTCATTGGAAACATCCAATTTTAGGCACAGATCACGCAAGCGCACACTTGCCAGATGATAAACCTGAAAGACACACAGTAAAGAGTCAAGCCAAACGAGTGTAACCTAGTCTGCAAAAATGGAAGTCCTTAAAGTAGAGCTGTTCTGTATTTGAATAGTTCGTTTCTGCAAAATTCCCCCTCTCTGCCCAAGACAATGTCTTCAAAAACTAAATTGTCAGCTCTGTTCAGGTGTTGGATCTGCAATGCCAATAAGAAATCCACTTAAAAGCATCATGACTACAGCTTACATGACTACAGCTTCTGTACTGTGTCACTCCCTCACTGCAATGGAACACTGCCAACAAGCACAAAGAAGGGACACACTGTAATCATGATTAAGTGCAATCTCAGATTAGCAAGATGACCGGTTTTTCTTTTTGATTACCAAAAAAATCTGTCTCAAAACCCGAAATAACTACCAAGTGCAACACTACCCCTTCTTCCATTTATTTCAGAAGTTCTTGCCTTGTGGATAGTAATTAGGCCCATCCTTTACATTGGAAAGCAGAAAGAGTTCATTTCACTTGCTCTCCTGAATGGAGGCAAGAAAGGAAAGCAGGGAAGAATTATCATTTTGCATAGATGATCACTGTAAGTAGAAGGTCAAAATTTAAACACAAATTTAAGTGAAGATTTTAATTCTCCTTCAGAACAGGAATATGTTGCCCACCACATGGTTTGTCAAATACGTGGCTATAGCTGAAGTATTCCCCAACTGACAGGAAATTCCAAAATGCAGTCTGAGTTCATCCCTGGAGGCTGGCTAATCAAGTCTTGATCCACTCTCAGAGAGACAGACTGTCACCATCAAAATTAATGAACCAATAGTTCAGACACAAAATGTGGCTTACAAGTGTTTCCAGGAAATAGTTCCTGTACTAAGATTTACCTTAAAGATTGTTCAATGCAGAATTCTCTAGGTTTACAATACAGATACCCTAAAAGGGGAAAACCTCTAAAAATAACTTCTCTAGTAAGAAAATAACAGCCAAAAAAATCTTCTAATATTTTTGAGATTAATTTAGGCATATATTCTTTGCAGGCATTTAGGCAAGTTACCCCGCCTCCTCCAAAGAGCCCTCACACACTCCCTATTGGGAATGAAAGCAACTAGAAACAAGTAATCTGAAGTTTCTCTGAAGCATGCCCAGTTCTTAACCTACCCCTTAAATCTTTCATAATTCCAAGCAGTTTCTTCTTTCTAGAAACTTTTAGATAGCATGTTTCTCATCACTGCTTTCTGAGGCTCCCTCCCAGCAAGATCAGCACTACTGGGTAGACCTTGGAAAATTGCAAATGAGAATCTCCAGATGCAGGATACAAACCAGCGCAGTTTTGAATGAGCAAGACACAAGAGAATAATCTCATTCTGATATGTCTAACCCTTGCAAATGTGGGAGGCAGTAAAAATAGACAAGAGAAGTAAAAACTGCTTTCTTAGGTAGTTATTTCTAGAAGCTGCTAATTAAAAGAAAAAAAAAAAAACCACCCATGAAACGTCTCTTGGGGAGGGGAAGGAGGAAAACTGGATTCTCCGCAACACTTGACAGCATCTTTTCCCTTCTCCTCCCAGGTACGTAAGAACTGCTCATGCCAAAGAAGAGACATGTGAAGACTGAAAGTAATGAAAACTGCACAAGGAGGCAAGGTTCAGCACGGCCACAAACAGCAGCAGAGCACAACTTCCTAATAAAACACTTACCTTTCTGTAGAACAGTGCCAAGGATCCCGTTTTCTTTGGTTTGCTTGCTGATGACAGAGGCACTTCTTGTGCTTGATTCACCTGAGGGCAGCAGGGAGCCTGAGCCTCCATTTTACATGGCTGACCTAAATTCATTGAAATGGGTATCAATGTGATCCCACCCATTTCGTTTGCAATACCTGGAAAGGATATATACATCCAGAAATAAACTGTTCACTCTCTTCATGCTGCAGAGTTAAACTGCAAATCATAAACTCATTCACACACTTTTTGTACTAAAGAATCTCATCCTGCTGTACTGGATTCTAAGACAACTCTGTCCCTCAGAGCCTTCAGAAATGATTAAAAATTACATTTCTGGTAATGCTTAAAGGAAGAACATGAATGTAAACAATCATTTCTAAAACTATCTGAAACTATAAAGTCTACAAGAAATCACAATTTCTGTAGTGAGTGTTCCATTCTTTTGGGAGAGGTGGGCATTCCCTTTCTTTTTTTTTGTATTGTTCTGCAAACCTGACAGCACATCATGTACAATCCTCGTTAGTTTTCTCAGTAGTCAAATTTTTTGCTGAAAATCTCATTAAACATGAAAATGAAGATTTTTTTTCTTTTCCTCTTTACCTATAGGCCCAGTTTTTCATTTTAAAAAGGCTATGAAACTCATTTCTCACATATAATTTTCAGAAATATTCAAGCATTACCCAACATCAACAAAACAGAAATCCCCCACCATTTTGCTAACGTTAATACATAGCCCTTATCCAGAAATTCCAGAGCCCTTTAAGATTAGAAGAGACCAAAGTCAATACAAACAGTAGTAAATCATTATTGGAGCGGAGAACCAAAGCATTGCTTATTGTGTGGTGAGGTGTAACTGGAAGAAGTAAGAATTCCACAACTTTGCTCGCAAGGAGGAATCCTCGGGACGCTTGTCAGGTATCGGATGTCTCCACAGAAGGAGATGTCAGTATAAGCCTAAGCCTTTTGATAGTGTGATACACATTCTTTTAAAAAAGAAAAAGCAATACATGTTCAAGAGGCATGGTCGGTCTAAGCAGATCTTAAGAGCAAGCAAAACATCTAGTAGAGAAGAAAAACAGGAAGAATTCTTACCGTGCAGTGGGATCGTAACCTTCTGTCCCATTTTTCCCGGTACTGCAGCTGTTGTCATGGTCAGTACTGTTTGGCCAGGAGAAGCTGACACATTTTCAGCAGCAATGCTTGACACTGGAGCAATTGTCAACTTAGTTCCTTCAGTTAGAATTCTTTCCATCTGCATTTCTTTGGGGCTGTCATCTCCAAAGAGCCTTCTCTTAGCACTGCCAGCTGTAGGAGAACTGTAGCGCTCATGAACAGAAATTGGTGACAATGGCTGCACGTCTAGTAAAGGAGAAAGAAAAAACCAACTGAAGAGGAACAACTTAATAGGTACATTTCTCCCACAGGAGGGGAAAAGGCTAACCTTCGAATTACAAAATCGGAGTACAAGAAATCACTCCTAGTTAAGAGCTAATCTCACAGTTCGCTGTTCCTAGACGGTATGAACAAGACCTATAGTCCATCTCCTTTTATTCTGTAGTCATCCCAGACAGCTCACAATCGGGTACCACATGGAAGACAAGAGTAGCCGAGCTAATTTACAAAGACTGAAGAACACACTGGATTATATATATTATATATACTTATATATATATATTATATATACTTACTTCAGCCTGCTTAGCAGATTAGTAATATTTGCAAGTGCTATTCCTCTGAACACATTCCTCTACAGGAACATTGACCACATTCCCCGGACATGCTGTCTTCCCAGTGTTCTGGCTTTTAAATTCTCTCTAAACTAACCCCAGTCAGAAGCCTCCACCCTCATCCCTCTGGTTCCTCTCAGGCTCTTCTGTTCTTTCAAACATTGGCTCCAGTAGCAAGACTGAAATACACAATGCTAATTTACAGGATTCTGTTCCTCTGGCTTTTTATATTTCTGCTGAAGTCTGCTAGCCACCTGCGAGGGTAGCAGTGACAGCAGTTTCCTATTCCCCATGAAGCAGAAAGCTTCTGGATAACTGGCCAGGTAAGACTGATTGGAAACCTTACTTCTAACGCTGCCAGCATGGAAAAAGCAACAGCAGTGCTGCCACTGCCTCTTCACCCTCACCGTCAAGAGACGGTTCTGTCTGATACCTCAGAATCTGCAAAGAGCAAGGCAGTTCTTCGGAGGAAAGAATGTTGCAAAGTATTGTCCTCCCCTCCTGCAAAAAAAAACGTTCTGTAGGAAGGAGGAATAAATGCAGCTCTGTCATTCCATTTAAAAAAAAGTCACCTAAAATCCAGTGAAACTCACTGAGAACAACAAAAAACCCCTGGAAAAATCTGAACAGCGAAGGACAATAAGCCATCAGATGAAAACCCACCTGAGAGGAAGGTAACCCTTGCATCAAAACAGCAGCAAAGCCTGCTCTGGTTCAGAGGTGAAGCATTATCATCAACGTCTGCTGCCAGCAAGACACCGCAACGGTTTGACCAGATGCATCTAGACTTTCCCTCGATCAAGTAAGAAGCTTGACAATTCTGAATGCTTAATTCGGATTCAAGATTTCTTCATGCACTTGGAAAGAAATCTAAACCCCCTCTCCCCAAATTCACACATTCAAATCATATCAGAAACCTTGAACATACCCCGTCTTAAACTCCCACCAAGATCTGTCCGAACCTCTTTTACTCGAGGATGAATTATAGGAGATACTGGCATCATAGGCAAATGCCCCAGCCCACTTCCTCCATTGCTTGCTTCAAAATTACAGGGAAATATTACCTGAGAAATAAGAAATGTCAGTGTAAGATAACACATAGATTTCCCTTCGTTGTGCCAAGCTATTAACAGAAGTTTTTCTGCAGCAATTGTCCAATTTGAATGGTTTTCTGCATAAAACAACAGTAAGAAAAAGAACGTGAATTTCCTAATGACAGGAAAACAGGTAACATACTTCTTCACAGGTTGGGACCTTGTTTTCTGAGGCCTGGAGGGCACTCCAGAGTGCCGAGTCCCGAGTCCAGGCGAGACTCTCAAGAATTTGTTCCTCAATGCTGTTGAGGTGCTTCACCATGTCTCTGGAAAGTCCTTCCTCAGACCGAATCAGTACTTCAATTACCTAATGGTAACAAGACACACGCATGAAAGCAAAGTCACATCACTCGTGTTTAACACTACCAAATCATTGCTTGTTTCAGGAACCTGTTTGAAACTTCTCTTCAACACAGAATGCTCCAGCTTCCTCCTCGCATCTTAATCTTCCCCAATCCCCTTCCGATCCCTCTTTTTTAACCCCTTTCCCCAAAGGCAATCCACGAGTTGGAAATTGATATCCCATCAATGCAGAACAACCCACTCCCAAGGGGGTTTTTAAGGCTCTCTCTCACCATCGCTAAGCACATACAGAATGAATGCACTAAGCACGCGCAGCGCACACCCAGCATGTGCAGCATACCTAGGAAGGGATAACCAGGTATTTCTGCTTAGGCTGTGTAAGTGAGAATCCCAGCGTTTAAACTTTCCTTCCTTTCAAACAAGCGGCCCATAAGCAAAAGGGCTGAAAACCACTGTTTTAAACTTCCATTTAAGAAAAGGTTAGAATCCTTAACACGTACAAATCGGGGTTGAAAAGAGTTGAAATAGCCCTTGAAATATCCTGTTCCACCCCTACGCTGCAATGCAAGATTCACTTCAGTCACGTTATTTCTGACAGAGGAACTTCCAGCCTTTTTCTAAAGCTCCAGAGACAAAAATGCCATAAAACTCCCGTGGAGGGCTTACTGGTGCTTTTACTTATTTATACGACAGAAACTCAGCACCCAAAGAACAGAGTTACAAATGGCACCAGTGGAATAGATATGGGCTCTCTCGTGTGAAGTCTTTGTGATGACAATTTTTTTCAAGTAAGAGTGCCGCAAGAATGTACACTGAGTAGCAAAGAAAATGCAAATCAAATATACATCTGTTCCACAAAGTTGGATCTGCACCAGTGCATCTGGTATTGATGTAGGCTACCAACAGCCACAGCAATATGGACAGATTTGTTTCAGTTTCACTAGTGCCCTACATCTGAGGATTAAAGAAGGAAAAAGGGAGAACAGAATATAGCTTTCCCAAAGGGTTCAATCTCTTTGGTTGTTATCGTCTAAACAGAACTACTTCTGATTTATTCAGCATTAACTGCAGTAAGCTGTTAGGTATCCAGCAAAAACAGGAGGCATACAGGCAGATGACAGAAGGATCAAACAAGTCAAAGAACAGAAGAGACATTGGAGGCAGGGGGGAATGAGGTTAAAAAAAGAGCAAAAATAGAGAACACCCAGGAAAAGAGATTTTATGTTCTGCTATACAAAACAAAACAGAGAGGAAAAAAAATTAACAAAGCAAGCCTGTGATTAGCTGTAGTAGCCAAAGGCAATAAAGAATATTACTGCTATTTTATCACTAATAAGCACAACTTGCACTCAATAAATATGAATATCATCAAAATACATGCTTGAATGCTTTAGTCTACTAAAAGTGTACACACACACACACACATATATCAAGAACTAAAAGTGGATCAACAGCATGTTCCAGTTAAGTATCATTTACAAAATGGTTTTCTTGCTTTAAATTTCAGCTTCAACTCCAGCATTACACATTCCAGGTAATAAATTTAAGGACAGACAGAATTTAAAACAGGCATATTACACCTTAACATCAGTCCTTCTCCTACTTGATTACGTTGGAAGGAAGAGCATCATCCTCTAAGACTGTCAATCCAGTATTGAGCCATTTTTAATACAGATCCAGTCCTAAGACAGTATTTATTTACCTTATAGAAATAGAATGGCCTGAGGTCAAGCACTTCAATGATCCAGGGGAAGGTACGAGGTGAGCTATATGCAAAAAGCACAATCTCTAAGCAGCATGCCATGAGAGAGCGGTGAAAGACATCTTGTTCCAGGAGAGCCTGAAGAGATTACAGAAAATGTCAGAGATCTGAGGTTTGGAAAATGGAAGTTTGAATTTTGTGGCACTAACACTACATAGCTTATTGCTGGAGAGAAGAGGTACTACTTGCTTCTACCTTCCACAATCTCCTCTTTTTACGGGGAAGTTTAGAACAGTAGAGACCAGAAGCAGACTAACAGCACCAAAGCCATCACATTTTTCATACTACAGCCAAATGAATTGGCCTCCTTATCGTGAATCACAAAGCAGGGTAAATGCCTGTCTAATACAAAGTATTGATGCTGTTAATTGGGTAACAAAGAGAATAAAAGTTATCTGTCCATAAAGTTGTGATTCTACAAGGCAACGCAAATTAGGATGGTTAGTTATGCCAGAATTATACCACTTTTTATTAAAAGTAAAAACTACATTTAGGCACCTCCCATATATTTCCCCTTTTTTAATATTAGTGAAATACACAGACTGCTTTACTGTGGACTGCTCTGCTCTGGAACCGCCTGAAGATAACCCCCTAGAGAGGGTTACAGAAAGCGTTCTCCTCCTTTTGCCAGTGCTTTACTCACAGTCAGATCTTTCCCATGTAGTCTTCGTGTTTCTTGCACCATTATAGTCTCCAAGATTTTATAGTACAAGATCTCTGCCAGTTTTAATCTGTTTACAGCAAAATCTGAAATTTAAAAGCGACCGAGATGAAGCCCAATGCCATTTGCACAAATGGTCTTAAGACTAAATTGAACAGTACTTGTCCTTCTCTAAGGAAACAGTGCGCGTGTGTACGTATAGACTTTGCAAATCAAACGAGTAGGTTCAGAAATCCACTCGTCACAAGAACAGCATGAAATTCTAGAAATGCTTTAAGGGATTATGTTTTAATAGTGATGTAATTTTGCAGACAGTTGCAATAAGAATTTTCCTATTTGTATTCAGTTTCCTTTAAATTTTAAATCTAAGAATGCAAGTTCACAATTTTTGTTAAGATCTGCTATAGTTTCAAAGCTCTTTCAATTATCCCATTTTGAACTGCAACCTTGGTTTTACACTGTAATAAATTTTATTCTTTACAGTGTTCCTTTTGACAGCAACAGTTTTCTGTTTGGATATGTTCTGGGTTAAAACCAGCTCCACTGTATTAAATACTTAGACAACAGTGTGTGTATGTATTTAATTTGCCCTGGTTTAACATTCTGAAACATACCATGCATTTCAGGCCCATACCTATATGGGATCCTGGCTGTTCATCCGTTGACTGAGTGTAGCTGCGACAGAACGTCTCGCCTATTTCCTTCACTCTGCTCATAATGCTTTCCATAGGGCTGCGTGCACAAGACCTGAAGCAGAGCACAAAAAGAAAGCCTCGTTTGTATAAATATTCGGTTTCAAAAAATCCTCAAAAACCAAACAAAGCCAACCCCACCCAAATAAAAAGAAGAGGAGCTAGTTATACTGAGCTTTCCTTATCAGGCAACAGCCTGTATTACCACAGAGAACAGAGAAAAACATAAAACATACAGAAATATTGTTTCCTTTTTTTCCTTTCAAGAGAGTTAAAAGAGGCTATGTAGATTTTGGAAGAAATGCAGGAGAAAGCAAGAGCTGCAGTAGCACACTTGGGAGAAAGACAAATCTGCTACGAGTAAGGTAGTAGGAAGGATGCTACAACAGGCAACCACGCAACCAAACACATCCACGGGACCACACAAACCAGGCACAGTGTGAGGGAGTACAGGAGAGCTTTCAAATCAAGAGCGGGCATCTTTCCAAAAACACCTTATTTACTAGCAAGGCAGAGAGGAACTGACGAACTCCACACAGCCACTACCGTAAAAAGGGGACAGAGAATCTCTCTGTCTGGAGATGCACTTTCTGAACACTTCCAGATTTTCCAGCAACTCTGTATTAGAGGACAGTGGCTTGTGACTAGTGTCAAATTAAATTAAGACACTAAGCTATTTTGAAAAGCTAGCATTGAAATAAACTAAGGTTTCACCGAACAAAGCCTTCTAATTAACTTCAAAGTTATATTTCTGAGGAATTTTAATTTGAAAGAGCAAATATTTGAAAGCACAGGATATTACACACTGTCCAAAACACAGTTCTTTCCGTTTCTCCCAATCAGACAGTACCTATCCTAGCACCGGTGAACTCATATCCAAGGTGAGCAAAGAACTCAACACATTTCTTCTCAGAGGTTTACTCAATTCTTTTCCCTGTTTTAACATTCACATTTCTTGACAGACTGGTTTATTACTTGAACACACACATTTTTCATTAACGATTGCAGACATGTTAATGTATTAATTGTGTAATACAAATGGTATCAAACAGTCCTTAAAAAAAACAAATTAACATTTGAAACAGAAACACACCTTGCTGAGCATTTGTAAACTTCTAAGAAGTGCTAGGAAAACTTTCAAAATAAACGTAACTCCAGAGATGAGAACTGAAAGTAACATTTTTCACCTATTAATGAAGGTTGCTTTAAAAAACTATTACTCTTGCACTTCAAACATTAAGTTTAATACTAAATGTCCATTCTGATTAATTAAAAAATACCTGGAGACCTTACACCTTACTACAGCAAGGCCTTTACCTGCATGGATGTTAGGCAAACACCCAGCAGCTTTACAAGCTTTACAGTTATTTACTATTAAATTATTGCTTTTTATGAGCTGTGAAGCAACACTTATCTACCTTTTACTGATAAACTATTTTGTTTATACTCATCTGCTTATGCACCAACATCTTCATGTGCATTTCACTACAGCCAGCATGGAGTCATGTGTCCAGGAGCCAAAAATATAGGTTGATTTATATAACTGGGACTCTGTCCTAGAAATGGTGACCACAAAAGACTGGGGTCATGTTCAGTAGTCAGTTATTATGATTTCCCAGCACCAAACAGCAGCTGTAAGGGCCGAGCAACAGGCTCTTGACTAGGAATGCTCTTAAGTCCTGCTGGGACGCCTGCCCTAGGACAGACATCATGGCTCAGGGAGGAAAACTATAAGCTGAAGCATGCTAGTGGAACGGCCACCGAACAACCAGTGAAGTGGAAAACATGGCTGCTGCTATACAAGAGATCAGCATCGACAATAATTAGGGTCACTGCTAGGCTTATATATGCTATAAAGTTAGATTTCAGATATCCCAGAGTAGTATGGAGAAATGGGGGGCCTTTAGGCTGCTTTTCGTCTTATCTTCCCAACTCTTTAAGCAAAGATTATAGGTTGTTGAATCTAACACTTCCTTCCTCCCCCAAAACCTCTGTCAACGTAGTTACCATATCTTTTAATTGAGCTACACTTGTTTAAAATTTTAAAAAACCCAACCAAACAAAAAAGTTTTGGCTTTCAAGCAAACAGCTAAATTAACATTAGCAATGGTGGTGACAAGTGCGGGGGGCAGCATGTGTGTTCAGCTCTCTTTCTCCAGAAGATGAGATCATCTAGAAAACAGAAGACCTTTCAACTAGAAATAACAGAGAAACACAGACAAAAATATTCTACACCAAACAAACAAGTCAAATGTGGGCAAGAAAGCAGTCACAAGCGTGAAAAGATTAGATGTTTGTATGAGAGTGGTGTGTGGATGTACTTACTCAAAAATAGTTATAAGTTGTTCACTCGGTGCATTTTTCAGTCCAGCCACAATGTTCTGCAACCGGCTCACACTTTGTGTTGCTGAAGCAACAGGAGTGATGACAGCTTCCTTTTCTCGTAGGTATCTTCTTCCAGTCAGTGGAGTTGAAGGTGCAAATGACCTTTTCTGTCCAACAGAGAAAAATAATAAATAAAATCAGTCAACAGCACTGTTTCAGAAGCCTTTTGAACGGGGATCTCCTGCAAGATCACTCCAAAGATTAAAATGACACCACCAGCATGCTACCTGAAGGCTGCCACCAAAATTGTGATCTCAGAACTGACTAAAAATTAGTTAAAGTTTTCCCAGGACTCCATAAATACAAAAATATAGCAATTCTTCAGGCAGACTAAAATTAACTCAAAGAGATTTTTTAAAATAAAATATATGAAAACAAGAGTTTAAATCTTAAAGCCTGTAAATTTTTTAAGCTCACTTGAACATTGAAAAATACAGGGCAAGAAAGAGAAAGCATATGCTTCCATTCACAATCCCTGACTGCGTTAGTTGGGTGACACAGAGAGCACGTGACAGAGCTGCCTAGGAGATGGTCACAGGAAAATAAATGTTCTTTGGGACACTCTGTCCTGGTGGGCCTAGAGCCTCCCCTTACTCAAAGAATGATGTAGCACTAAGCAGATGGAGCTGTGTCAACTGCAGTTACCTATTTGTAACCTGCTTTCTGGAAGTGATGCAATAAAGCATTTGCTGTGAACTATTAGAACAGACTACATTTTGAAGCTACAAAGCAAATAATGACGAAAGGTTAAGCCGGCAGTCGGGATGCACAAATAGCAATGAGGTCACTATTATACTACAGAAACTGAAGTTCAAAATTGATGAACTCATTCCAAACCCCTGTCTTTAATTTGCCTGAATAGGAAGTGGGAGAAGCAGCTAAGCCATATGATTCATCTACACCAGCATTCGCATCTTGTAATGAGTATTCTTATTTTTTAATTGACATGTAATTCAAACAGTATGTGGTTTATCCCTTATCCAAGTTTAAAAAGTAGTCAATCAAGTGCTTTCCCACATGCCATACATTTTAAATTTTTAAACATCGTGAAACATTAACTCTGTGTATAGGCTTTTTGTAATGAGGAGTTAGACTTTGACAGGGTTTGTGTCTCAAGTGTTATTTTCCATAGAATGGCACAAGCTGACTTTTCCTGTCCTAAAAAAAGAAGTATCAGGAAAACAAATAAATTAATCCAGTGTAACGGTTTCATGGTATTCTTATGGGGTACAAATGAAGTTTGAACAAAACCCTAAGACCTATATATTTAGGTCTTAATTAATGATTTTTCTTGGACAGACTACACACATGAAAGTGCTCTCATCCTTTTTAAGGAAGAGTTATTTACTGAATTCCACAGGAAAGAAGACATCACCATTTCTCCTCAGCAAGACACCACCCACTGAAGGCTGCAAATGGCATTCATCATCTTCCTCTCAGGAAGGACTTTGAGAAATTCAGTCACCTCAGTAAACCAAATAGCGTACGAGGATGGAAAAGCTTGAAAGAGTGCCTCAAGCGAGATCAATGTGTTAAATGAATCACCTTTTCAAAATGCTGCTGAAGATGACACTCCACATGAGCTCTTGCTGACGTTTTCCCCACTGGCACGTCTGCAGGAAATTTTTGAGGAGTGCCAATTTCTTCTTCAGCATCAGCTCCTAGGAAAACTCTCTCGTCGAAGTCACCCACTGTCAGAACATACTCTTCATACTCTTTATTCAGTGCTTTGCTGAAAGAGAAGCCCAGATTTTGTATCAAGGGTTAAAGTGCTGAAGAAACAAAAAGGTGCCAGTGGCAATAAGGCACAAAACCGAAACCAAGACGCATTCAAAGTGCTGCTTGTAAGCAAACCCACTGCCCCAGCAATCTGCTTCCAGTCATCCCTGCCTTCCTTCGTACTTAAAACCTCCCCTGCTCCCTTGATGATCTGCTGCAGGGACCACTCTTCCTCCTAAGTTACCACCAACATTTAGCTCTCTGTAAGAGGAGGAAAAAACCAACTTTGCTTCCATCCCAGTTGCAAATAAAACAGTTTGGAAGTACTCAACTGACCAGAGGTTAAATCTTCATATACAGGGGGCACATTAAGGGTGGTTGTGTTACATGAGCTACATTTGATTTCCCCTTTGCCACTTTGTAGCCTGTCATTTTCATAATGGTGGGAAAATGGAAGGGAAATTGAAGAGCTAGCCACCTGGATTCAAGGTCTAAGATCGCCACACTGACATAGGATACCAAACAAATCTTTCATTTTCTTTATTCATGATATGCGAACATTATATGAAATATCTTTTGCCTGCAAAGTGCCTTAGCAATTCAAGCTACCACTTCAGCATGTATACTGATGAAACACACAACGTATTCACAATGCAAGTAATTCTGTGGTCCCAAAGGAAACTCGTCTGTTCCACAGGTTCACCTTCCCCATGCCTTTTAGAAAAAGCAAAGGCCTATGCAAAGCTTGGACAAAGAAACAGAGAGGCTTCCAAGTGTCCTTTAGATGTCAAGCTACTTACAAAAGAATGGGGACTGCTGTATCATGCCACATGACAGTATTATTAAAGTAATACTATTCATTTTTAAGCAGAAATACTAAGAGAAGTTGACTATTTCAAATGGATCACAGCAAGACTGGTTTATACCCAAATTTGAGTGTTATCTACATTGTTAAAACAATTGAGCCTTTGCTCAAAATTCTCAAAGCAAACCGACAAGTTAAAAACTCACCCTGAAAAAGCAAATTCTTGGGTATTTTTGGAAAAGGAAAAAAAAATCCCACCTTTAAGGGATCCAGAACAAAGCAGCTGCTGCTCATATTCTGCATCTAAATGAGCTTTCAGAAGTGAATTTTAAGTTTTCGAAACAACTCCACTTGCTTTTTTTTTTTTTTTTTTTTTGAGTACTTCTGTTACACTCGCAGATTTATACACTCAACTGGAGACCAGTAAGTGAGCCTAAAGACTTCCCTACTCGGGTATATTTGAGGTGTGTATAGAAAAACACCTGTGAATTTCAGAGTCAAGGCTTTGATTTGCATTAGATTACTGAAAGGTTACAGTTGCCAGAAAGCAAGGGCAAGCACCATAAAACCTGACATTAAGGAAGAAACTCTGCAGCTGACCCCACAGCATTTGACACATCTCAGATCCAGAAAGAGTTTCAGCCAGATAGCAGCTTTGATTGTCAAATAATTAGAAAACATTTGTTACAGTAAGATAAAGGGACAGGGAAACCCGAGACTTAGCATTCAAAGGCCTGTATTTTAGAAATAAAACCAAACCCCACAATCAAGAACATGAGCTGTAACTTACTTATTTTCCGCAAAATTGCAGAGATCCAACAGACATTCTCCTTTTAAGATCTAAGAATAAAAAGCAAAAATAGCTTACGTAATAAAATCAAAACTGATCCTATTCTAACAATGTAAGGGCATGATGGTTTTAGCCAAAAAGGAAATGAGATTTAGGCGCATAACTGGGCTTTTTTTTGCCTGGACCAAAGGACTACAATGCCTTTAGCAAGACAAACAGATGAGGACAAAGCCCAATTCTACCCAAGCTCTAGATAAACTCACTCTTCAGAAACAGTACTGCTATTTAACGTCTGCTCTGCTGGCGGGTTAGGGACTGACCTGAGGGAACGATGACACAGAAACATACACAGCTTGGAAAAAATTTCCAGGAACAAAACCAGTCAGAACAATCTGTACACCTGCAACCCTCTTCCTTCTGAAGCATTTTGCTCAACTCCCAAGACCCACAGTAGGACCCACGCTATCCTGACAGTTATCCCATAGAATTATTTCACCATAAGATTACTTTTTTCCTGAAGAAAACATTATCATCTACCATTCAGTTTCACACTACCAAGAAAGGAAAGCAAAGACTCTCCACTGACATGAAAAGCCTGAACAAAGGGGACCTTACAGCACACATCATTAAGAATGACAGTAAATTCTGCTCCTTTTGGAACACATACAAAGAAAACCTGACCCAGTCCAAGTTAATTTGCCTGTTTGTACACTTCCCTGCAGGATTTAAGTGGTCTCAAGATCATTCATCTGAGCACTACCATGCATTCTTAAAAATAGTAAGATGTACCTTCCTATCAAATAGTTTTGAAATGTACGGTTTAAAGTAGTGTTCCTTTATTCCTTTTGCTTCTACTAAGAGCCCATCATGCAGCTCACACAGCATGGCAATGATGCAAGGAGGGTCTTCAGAGGCTTTGATCTCTGTCCCGTGGAAGTCCGTTGGTAAGCCTGAGAACAAGGAGCGGGGTCGGGGGAAGACAATGAACCTTCAACTTCATTTAAAAAGAAACAAGAGAACAAAGCCTATTTGATTTTAAATAATCTGTCCCCACCATACCTTTAAACGATGGATTTAGCAAATCTCTTCTATTTGGACACAAAAGGGCATTTGCAAAAATCAGGTCCAGGCAGCACAGAAGCAAATGATAGGAATTTACTAAATCATCTCCAATCATACGGAAATTACCTTTAAGAGACAGCACATCATGTCAAGCAACACAAAAGAAGTTCATAACTCAGACCATATAGAAACCACGCACCTAAAAAAGGCAAGCCTACCCTTAGTGTACACAAAGAGAGTCCAGCAGAAGTTGAAGAGATCCTTAACACTGCATGGCACCCGTCTATCAACAAGGAAAAGGGGAGAGAAGTCAGTCTTCAGTGCCAGGAAGCTGAAGCTTGGTTTACAGTAAGAATTTTGTTCCCTTTCCTTGCTCAAAATAACAGTTGGAGCTGCTGCCTACCTTAATTTCTACCACTAAGGCACAATCTAAGCTACATGTCCTTATTTCAGCTTTTGCTAACTGACAGTCTCCTCCTATCTCACTCCGCAGAGCATTTTGTGCAGCATCCCTGAAATTCTGACCCTTTTTTGAGCCAACGGCTGCCTGTGGCCCTGCACAGGCCATCTTGCTGGTGTCACTTCTCTAACAGAATCCTCCCGCAGCTGCAGGCGTTGAGATGCCAAGGACTATATAAATTCCAGTGACAGTTTTTCCTAAAGATTTTACTAAAGCATCAGTCATCCCTTCAAAATATGCAACTACAGCTTGTATTACAGCTCATCTGCCGAATCATGTTTGGAGCAGAGATTATCCAAAACCATCGAGCTGGAAGACCAGGGAAGACATTATTTGAGACAGTGCACAGAGAAGCTAACACTGCGGTTATGCTAATGAACGTTGCTCCAACATTAACAGAGCATACTGACAAAATTTCTCCCCAATAGGCAGGAGTGCCCACAAAGCTACCTGCCATACGTGAAGAGCTGTAGCAGCAGAAGTATCCTTTCTTCCTGCAGACGTGGAGCTGTGCTGGAGTGTTTTACCAGAACAGTTATTCCGTCCTCACGTCCAGAGGATGCACATGAGCTGGCAAAAATGCCTCACAGACCCAGCTTGGCTCCCTCGTCATTCAGTTCATGCTCTCACTATCAAGCTATCACAGAGACGGCCGCACAGTCGGCAGGGAATATGGACAGGCTCATAAAAAAATGTCATAAAAATGAGTGTAAGGCAGAGGCTGCTGTGGATGTAACGCTGCTGCTGTGCATGGAAGGATTAAGTCACAATACCAACTACCTCAGCCAGTACTTTGCTGAGGCAAAATACCCCTGTGCTGCCAAAGTTATTTCTGCTAAAGTCTCGCTGCATCTCAAGGTAATCCATCATCTCACTGTACCTCTCCCCACCACAGCACACATTCTCACCATGGGCCAGCTTCTGCACATTACAGTGTACTGTATTAACAGCCACCGATACGAGCCCTGCCCCATTGAGATTAGGGATGCTTCTCTATTCACTGTGCCTCAGAATCAAGGCCACAATAGGTCCTACCCACTTCGGAACTCTACCTAACTTTTTAAAACACAAATAACGATCTTAATTTTCATAAATCTTTAGTAGGTATAGCCCTTCTCCAGGGAAAAGTTACTCTAAAATCTCAAAAATACCTCTGTTTCCTGCTTCGCTGTGGTTTAGAAGTTTCCTCGTAAGGGTTTTGAAATACATCCAAAAATATGGGTTCAAACTTTTTGAAAATCACAGTTGACACTTCAAAATTCCTCTCCAGCCTCTCCACTCGCTCTCGGAACTCCTGCGGCAGATTTGACATGTCCATCCATTTCTTCATTTTGCTAAAAAACTGAATTAAACTTAAAACAAAAAAGAAAAATCTGCTTTATTTCCAGCGTTACCTCACTTTCTTTATTCCGAATTTTTTAAAAAGCTGAAATGCAACATAATTCCTCCTTAGAGACTAATTTGATCAATATATAGGTTTACCATTTATTTTGGTAGACTCCCAAACTGAATACACTGTAAGCTTTTCACCTTTTATCACTTCGTTTTTTCTCCTTGACTTTTTTTAAGGCACTAGCATGGAAACACTCATTTTATTCAAAGGCTGCTGGCATAGCTGCATCAGCTAGGGGAAGGGGAAGCAGGGGAGGCATAGCCACAAACAAGAATTTATAAGTGTCATGAGTTACCTATGCAAAACCCCGTTAACCGTGGCTGTAATTACATAACTGTGGGTGTAGCTACTCTACAAACCCCCCCTCTGGCAGCTCAGCTGAGAGCAGGTCCCTAAGTGCAGCAAGAAACACCCCCGAGTTGAGTCAGAGCTACAGCAGCAAGCAGAGCTGCCCACCAGAAAGCCCCCACACAATGGAAATACTGACATGACTGCAGAGCTCTGTGCCTGGCACACCGTACAACATACACCCAGTGATTTGGCCTAAATCCTGAGCCAGACAAGAGTCTCATCGGGATTGCCAACAGTACATTCAGAGGTCTTGTCTGCATGTGAATTAACTACAAAAAGAAACGACTGGTGTGGGTGGAAAAATTGGTGGGCGTTTTTTCAAAAGGCTTGAAGTTGAAAATTGCATATTTGCGTCTTTTTAACAAAAGAGGGCTTACTGCTTTTATACCCTTACCTCGGGGCACGCATTTCGCAGTGCACAGGGCCGTGGGAAAAGGCGCGGGTACGTGCACAGGGAGCTCTAGCGGACCGGTGCATTAGCAGGCGCTGGGCCGGGGCAGCTGGCAACCAAC